TTAAAAAAAAATTACATAGAAGAGGCTTAATTCTTTTTTGTTATTATAAATAGGAGAACAAATTAGTTAAAAATGTCTGATTGCGTCTCGTAACGTACATTTTATAAAAATTTGAAACTTTTTTTCTTCTCTTCCTATTCGACCCCACGTTTTTCCCATATGATGTAAGAGTTGTCCTGCCTTGTCCTACGAATCAGACTAGCCTACCGAAGTTTTTATACAACCGGGCCTATGAGTTGTGTAGGGAGTCCTGATCAAAACGGCGCCGTTTAAGTGCGGTCTATGATTCAATATGTAGTTGAAGAAGTGGTACGAAAGCCAACCCTCGTTTTTGAGAACGAAAACGTGAAAGCTTCTTCGCGGCAGTCACAGGCTCTGTGCTGCTGATACCTGATACAGAGAGAGAGAGAGAGAGAGAGAGATGGGAAATCCGAAGCAAAAATGGACGGTGGAGGAAGAAGAAGCTCTGAGAGCGGGGGTTAGGAAACACGGCACTGGCAAGTGGAAGGACATCCAGAAGGACCCCGAGTTCAACCCCTTTCTCTCTTCTCGCTCCAATATTGATCTCAAGGTCTCTCTCGATATTTATGTATAATATATATATCGCTATGTGTATATGGAAATTCCAGAATTTAAATATACTGCATATTGTGGTGGTTGTTTTCGAATGTTTTGTGCTGTTGAAATAATGGGTTTGATTGTTTTTATTTTTATTTTTTTGGATCAAATGAGATATTACTGAATGCAAATTGCCTGGTCTACATCAAAATTAATTACAATGATGATGCATGGCCGAGTCTGAATTTGTGGAGTTTTGGATTAAAGTGGTGAACCCGTTAGAGCTACGAATAGCTAATTGTTTCTGGCATAGTGATTGTCGATTCAGGACTTTGATTCGAAATTCGCTCACTTATCGGAAAGTTGGAAGCCGCTCCTTGAGTTACTTGATTTTCCAATTTTCCTCATCAGTTGGCTAAATGTTATTTATTCTTGTTTTGAATTTTGAGAATGGTGTGCGAAAATCGTTGGAAGGCGTAATTTTGTGTTGAAAGCATTTCAGATTCGCCAATTCGCCCGCCTGTTGCGGAATTCTATTTGAATGAACTAATATTGCTTTATATCAGAACAATTGGTAGACTGTATCTAATGTGGTATGAAACATTTTCTAGATGATTACTATGTCTATGGTTTGTGTTCAAATTGATTTTTGCTTGTATAGGACAAATGGAGGAATATGACTGTTAGTAGCACGGGGCCTCGGGAAAAATCAAGGCCCAAAGCAAGAACAAACCCAGATGTTGCTGTTGCTTCAGTATCCGTTCCCCAGACTTCTTCTGCTGCTCCAGTCAGACGCGATTCACCGGCAGCAGCAGCAGCAACCCCAGCTAGACGTGATTCACCAGCGGCAGCCCCAGTCGGACTTGATTCACCAGCGGCAGCCCCAGTCGGACGTGATTCACTAGCAGAAGCTCCAGTCAGGCGCGATGCACCAGCGGCAACTCCATTCAAACGCGAGCCATCAACAGAAACTCCAGTCAGACGCGATACAACTCCAGTTGCGGATGATTCCTCGACTGGCTTATCTGATGCAATACCTGCTCCAGTGTATGAATCTTTTTGTTCCTTGCCTTTGTCTTTTATCAATACAATAGAAATCATATGTGGCTACTACATGGGGTTTTCGCAGAATGTATTTGCAGTTATACATTCTGCGAAAAACCCATAGGAGGCATTATGAGTGGAAAAAACAATTAGAATGTGGAATGACATAACTCTTTAGGCTCTTATAGACTGGCACAATTATGGGGCGGGGGAAACTGACTAATCAGTTAGGGTAAAGGGGAGGAGTTGATAGGTGATGGTGCCAAGGTTTCTTTGATTAATAACTAGATGTCAGGTGATCATCTTTTTAAACATTATAATCATACTAAGTTGATAAGGTTTCTGACCTCTTAGCTTTGTACGCTTTCCTCTTGCATGCAATAAGAATGCATGGTTTCATGGCATAGTTTCTTAGACAACCTCAATGAGGCAATGAAGAAATACCCAAACTAATAGAAGGTGCAATTCTGGTGCATACGGAACTCTATTATCATAATCTGTACTGTAGTACTGTTTTCTGTGGTAATATTTACACTGATGCAATAATTAGCCTAGTGAGCAGATCTTGCTTTGATCTTTTCCCGGAACCATATCACATGATGCTTTAGTTTCATCTCAGCCATAAATCCTATGCTTTATTACTTTTGATCCTCTCATGTCAAACATAGCATCTCTTGGTTACAATTAAGAACACAGTATATTGAATGGTTTATTTGTACATTGTGGTTTTTATGTCTACAGTCATTATCCATTTCATTTTATCAATTTCTGTACCTCCAATAGCCAGACTGCTTTTATTATTGTTATCATTTTTGTACGAGTTATTTTATTTTTTGAATTTCATCTTGGTCAATCATTTTCTTCTATTATTAGGTGCAATGCAATGATTTTCGAAGCACTTGCTGCCACGACAGATCCAAATGGATTGGACACTAGTGCTATTGCTAGCTTTATTGAGGTATGTCTGAAATTTATGCTCTCTTCTTTTATTTCTTAGAAATGAAATTAAAAGAATCGTTGAGACTTTGTTAATTGATTCACTGCGGAGGAAGTTGTATATTAGCATGTTGAAGGGAGTAATATTGTCAATAATGATAATAGTTGTATAAACTCTTGAAGGGAAGTAATATTGTCACGGAGGATAATAGTTTGCTCCTAGATAACCTCTTGTAGATTTATGTTTCAATTAATCATGGTACACCACGTGTTCCTATGCTAGAGCTACGAAAAACATCGACTTTGTTTTACTTCTTGAAAATATAGCATTTTGTAGAATATCAATGGACCTTTTCTGTCTCATATTTGTTACTTTATAGATAATCATAATACCTAAATCTAAGTTAGTTTTTCAATACCTGTCGAGCTCATTATATTTGGGTTACCTTCAGAAATATCTCTTATACTTCTTTTTGCTGGGTGAGAACGAGATTGAAAGAATTTACGAAGAAAAGCTTCCAATTCATAGTTGATGTCTCTGATGAAGTTACGCTAAATTGTGATTTTCACGTTTTATGACCACTCAATTCTCATGACAAAATGACTCCTGCAGCAAAGGAATGAGGTCCCCCAAAATTTTAGAAGGTCATTAACTGGTAGGTTGAGAAGGCTGGTTCAGCAAGACAAACTTGAAAAGGTGATTGCTTGAATGTGATGCTTGATATTTCTAATATTTTTAGCTCAAATTATTCACTCGATATTTCTAACCCAGGATTAATCTGGCTCTATCGATGTTTGTTTCCCAAGCTTTGCTTTTTACGGACTTTTTGCCAGATTACTTTGCATGCTGAAATCAATATTGAATATCAGCTTATATAAATTACCATGTCATCCTAATGCAGATTCAACAGTGCTACAAGGTGAAAACCGATCCCTTGAGTGTGATGAAAGCACCTGCCCCGATGCAAAATGACATCCAACCAAAGCAATCGCAGAGTCCAGTATATGTGACCGTTGGTAGTGATACGTTGGAGGAATCGGCACGGGCTGCTGCACAGAGCATTGCCGAAGCAGAATACAAATCATATCTGGCAGCAGAACAAATGAAAGAGGCAGAGAGGATTTCTTTCATGGTTGAAGACACAGAATCAATGCTGCTGTTAGCAAACGAGATTTTGGAGCAATGTAATATCCAAAACTCCGAATTGTTTTCACCTATTGCATAGATTTTCCACTTCCTTTTGACTATATGTTGACGATTTCCGAATTTGACAGGTTCAGAAGGTGAAGTCGTGATGGTGGGGTGAGATACAATCCTATACCGTTTGTAAAGTTTCTTCGCCATACTTCCTTTCGCTAGTGAGGTGCAACCGAAGCGAAAATATATTTTGCTCATTTTGCTAATAATAGTAGTTATACAGCCACTTCAGACTGGATCTGTTGGTGATATGGAGAATTGTTCTTGAATTATCTATCAGAGATCACACGCTCTTGTATTTTTTGTGGTACGGAAATATCATTGGTTTTAAGTGATGTAATTTGATGATTCCACCTAATTAAGCTATAGCTTTACAGTCATTAAACACTTGTTTTGTGGATTTGTTTTTGTCGGACGCCACTATCACACTACAGTCTAGTCCTCCTCACCTGTAAGCGGAAGGTCTCGTGTTCACTTTACATGAATGACGAGTTTGATGCCTAACTGGGCGGCTTAACCCAAATCCTTCCCCGAGTAGAATGTTAGGAAATTGTTATCATTCGTGCCTCGGGATGACTTTTCGAGAGTGAAGAGTGTTTTACTCATGTACCCGAGAACCGAGGCTCGATTTCCTCTCCCCGCCATCAACGTGCCATCATGCAGAGGGGGAGGATGAATGAAATGCAGAAACATATTCAAGGTATAAACTCAATTTTTGCTCCAAAATAACCATTTCAATTGCAAACACCAAAGAGTGTTTACTGTATAAGCATTTGCTTACCCATCTCAACAGTTTCATAAACACATATGTAATGCTTTTCAAAAAAGACCTAATCGGATAAATGATACTTGTGGGTGACAAGATAATCGGAAGATGACCCAGTGAGAAAAAAAATAGAATTTAAAAACCCTCGTGGTGTATGTCTCCTGTTAGTAAATTTAGTCCAAAAGTAATTTTTCCGTTAAATTACATTTTTATCATGTATTTAACAAACATTTAATAAAATTATTTTTGGACTAAATTTGTTAACAATACCACCACAAAAGCTTAAATCCTATTTTCTTTCTTTTCGTTTTTACCATGAAACATATCTTCCAATTACTTTAGCACCACCGTTTATCCAATTAGGCCTTCAAAAAATACAATCCTCAAATCAAGCACAACCACAAATAAATAAAGATTAAGCCTCCTCAATTTCACACTAATTAGTTTTAATTTTGTCGGTAGAAAGAAGAAACAGACAAATAAAAAGCCAGCCACCAATTATTTGGGCCAGGTTTCAAGGACCCGAGTGAACTCGTCCAAGCACTTGTTGTTGTTCAACTCTACATTGCCAAATATCTCCTTCATGGCCCGTGCATTTGACCTTATGGACTCACCTTCTTTCTCCACCATCACTCGCCCAATCAACTCGGCCACCGAGTCACTCGTAAACGACCCGTCTTGCTCGTCCCTCGGTATCTCCAACCCGACCTGCTTATCGTGCATTAGTCTCGCGATCAACCCTTGGTCGGAATTAGCACCCGAAAACAAAATCAAAGCCCGCCCGTACCCTAGTGCCTCGACAACTGAACTCCAACCACAATGAGTTAGGAAACCTCCGATCGAAATATGACCTAGAATCTTAAGTTGTGGGGCCCAACCTCTCAAGACCAAGCCTCGATCCTCTACTCGTGTTTCAAACCCGAGTGGAATTATATCGGAGCCCAACACGCCCTCCACCAACGGGCGATTGTTGACCACCCAAATAAAGGGCAACCCGGATTTCTCTATCCCATGTGCCAACTCGTGCATCAACTCTTGACTCAGAGTCACCTCGGTGCCGAGGGCGATGTAAACCACCGAGTTCGGTTTCTTTACTTTCGAGCCACTCTCTCAACACTTCCCACTTGTCATCCCCTCGATCGTTAGCGACGCCATGCTGATGTGGTGCTGAGCCAGGCGGAAGCAGCCCGAGTGGAACAACGGGTTTGCCGTAGATCTTCCTGAGCAAACTCACCGCGTCAGATTCGAACTCGGTGCAGCTCCGCATAGTCACAAAATTACAATCTTGAATCGAACCCGCGAGTCTCTGAAAATCGGAGACCTCATCGTCCATGCAATCCCAGTGGCTCACCATCTCATGCTGCTTAAAAGCAACGTTGGAAGGATAGTCGACCCACTCGGGGACGACCGTAAAGTCCTCCGGTCGCCTGCGTTTATCGCCGAGTAACTCGGTCGGAGGACCCAAGAAAGCCAAGGTACTGGCGTTGGTGATGTTGAAGTAGACCGAGTTGACTCCCAGCTGAGTGGCGACTCTGGGCATCCAGTAGCAAATGATGTCATGGACGACCCAGTTGACGCTCGAGTGTTGGATGAAATGCATGACTGAAGGCTTGAGCAAGTCGTATGCTTTTTTGAGGTAAGGGACTTTGTTGATTGGTAGCTCGGAGGTGGACTCAACGGATTCCGGTAAGCCGTCGACGGCGGGGAGAGGAAGCTCGACGAAATTGATGAGCGGGGAAAAGGAGGAGGATCGGAGGCGATTGATGTTTTTGGGGGTGGAGATGAAAGAGATTTGGTGACCCTTTTGAGCTAAGAACTTGGAGACCTCCAGAAATGGCATTAGGTGTCCGTAGGCTAGCCATGGGAACATGGCTATGTGAAGTTTCTTCTGATCTTTGCTCTCCATGTGTTGGATGAATTGTGTATGAGAGGAGATATACTCTCAGGCTTTTGATATCACAAGTTTTACTTAAAGGGCTGCAGGTAAGGTAGCTTTTGGCTAAATTATTGGATTTCTTATGGTGTGAGAGATTAATTAACATCTAAACAATTAATTAATCACTCATGGCGCATGTGATTAATATTTGGTGGTTAGTTTAATGGTAAAAGGAGGTATTAGATTAGTGTTAATATGATTAAACTAAGTATGAGATTAGTCCAGATCCCGAAATGATGAACTGTTAATGATGAAACTACCAACTGATCATTTAAAAAATATATATATATATTTATATAAAAAGTACGAAATTATATTCTATATATACTAAAATCCAAACATCTGGTTACTCTTCTAGGGTAGTGTGCTGACCAAAATGCCCCTCAAGTTAATCTTCAGCCATTACTTTTTGTCTTTTAGTACAGTAAAATTCCGAATTTGCCCTTAATATTCACCTGTTCTTCCATCTATGGATTTTTTTTTTAATTTTGTAAACCCATGTATAGGGCAGACACAAAAATATTTAAAAAATGTGATTAAAACCAGGCCACGTGGTTGATGGCACAACAAACAATAAAAATTTATACCTTCTTAATTTTTTAAACCAGTGTATAGCTGGTGGGAAGACAAAAAAAAATATTAAAAAAAATGTGATTAAAACCGGGCCACATGGTTTGTGCCACTACAAACAATAAATATTTACACTGTATAGCTGGTAGGAAGACCAAAAAAATATTAAAAAATATGTACACTCATTTGTTGCTACATCCGAAGCCTTTGATAAAAAGGAAAACTAACGAAAAGGTTTGAAAATTTTGAGCTTTAACGATAAGGATAAAATAAAGGGTAAAATGAATAGTACCATATTTGAGTTTGTAGTGTAAAAATATGATTTTTTTATTAATGTAAACAGTACTGCGAATTTTTCGTTAAAATTTTCTCGAGAAAAAACCAAAAGAAAAAAGCTAACTACAAAGAGATAATAAATGCAAAAACCCACGTGTTGATCGTCCCCTTCCATTTCAGAGAAAGACGGAGGAAAAGAGGGATGCGATTGCACTTGAGTGTAGGTGGGCACGGGCTGGCCCGGCCCCAAATTTGGAGGGATCGGACCGGATCCGTTTAAAAAGAAAACAGAACCGGGCGGCCGGGTATCGTAAATCTGATCATTAGAACCGGACCTAACTCGGCCTGTTTAAAACGGGCCGGTTCAGGACGGTCCACAGATCCTTTTTTTTTAAACTTTTTTTTTCCGGTTTTGAACCCCTCTCGGACTCGCTATCCTCCAGAATCCTAGATCTTCGACTCGGACACCAGAACCAAAAACCAATTGTTTTAAAACCTCAATTCTCAAACCAAACAAACAAAAAAAAATCAAAAAAATCACAAGGCTGGGGGAGAGAGAGATCGAGAGGGATGAGGTTGAGAATCGACAGATCCAAGGTAAATTTAAGGTCTTTGTTTTTGTTTTTTCTGCGGATCTGCAGGTTGGGACAAATTTTTTGTGAAATTGGTGACTAATCGCATGCTGCCTCTTCAGATTATTGACAAAGAAAATTATATTGAGCTTGGGTATGTTTTACAACAACTACGTGTAATTTTCGATTCTCAGTTTGTATTTGTTTGAAAGGAACCCTGAAAAAAACTGTGGCAATTTGGTTCTCTGTTGTGTTTATGCTGGCTGTAACAAATTGGTTTACCGTGTGTATAATTTTTTGCTACAAAATTGTATTTGTTTGAAAGAAACCCTGATAATTTGGATGTGTCTTGAGTTAATGCGTTGTGCATTGAGTTGATACCATTTTTCGCCATGCTTCTGATTGGTAAGTGTTGTGGTACTTTCTAATCGTTCTTAAAAAAAAAAGATTCAATTTGTTTTCCAATTATTTTTTAGAGTTGTTTTCGTTATTGGTTTAAATCAATGTCCAGAAACCAAAAAGCTTTCAAAAGCAAAGTATTTAACATCACTTAGGGTGCGTTTGTTGCACCGGACTGTCTCGGACTGGACTAGCTGCCGGGACTAAGCTGGACTGGCTTAGACTGGACTAAGCTGGACTAACTTAGTGAAGCATTTGGTGTAATGTCGGACTAAGAAGCAGGATAAGAAAAACAATACTGTTCACCAGATTTGTGTTTGCTTAGACTAGGACTACAAATTTTTGCCATTGTGTAATAGAGTAATGCTACAAATCTCATGATATGGGTTAATTGGAGCATATTTTTGCCATGTATATTATGAATCTTAAAAAAAATTGACAATTGTTTTGTTTCTATTACCTGCTAATAGAATTGGGTTTAATTTGCAAAATGTAGCTTGGTTTAAAACTCTATCACCCAACAGAAGAAAAATTAATAGTGCCCAATACATGCAACTTCAACAAATACAAGTACATAAGAAGATCTCCATAATTTAGAAAATCCTAGTTAACATTAGTTAACATTAGCCAAAATAGATCTTTCCAAAATAATTATATTTACAAAATGGCTAGTTAACATAAGCCAAAATACTAGTGCAAAGCTAAGTTATAAGCCATAACATAAGATTGTATGATGATTAATAAAAATACATCCATGTTAACATTAATAAAATACATCCATGTTAACATTAGCCAAAATCCTCATCCGCTTGCGTTGTCGCTTAAAAGCTTTTGGACGAACACTTTCTTGAGTTCCGGTTTGATTGCCCTGAACACTCCCACATTTTTTTGTTTATCCAAAATAAGAGACAATGCATCAATTTGATCCATAGGAGAGAGACCCATTGCTTCAAGTTCATTAGTTATGTCAGTATGATCTGCAGTACCTTGAACTAAAGCTTCAGTTACCATTTGCATCCTCTTCCCACTTTCAACATAAAAATCTTTCAGTCCACTGATAATTGTCTCGGTTCCATCACTTGAACTTCCCACAGTTCTTTTCCTCTTTTTTTGGCTATTTTCAGATGGGGTGCTTTGTTGGCTTTGTTGGTTCATTGAAGAAACAAAATTTTCATCTCCAATATCACTTTCACCAACATGATCATGACTTTGTTCCTCCACCATTTGAGCAGGGGTTTCGGCTACATTACCCGTAGCCCGATCTTTTCCAAATATATATGCAAATCTATCAAACAGTGGAAAATGTTTGCTTCTCCGTCCATCGGCTTCTTTATTTCTCTAAGATTATATCAACATAGCAAAACTAAAATTTAGCATGCGTAACAAATATAGCAGCAAGAATATAACTAATGTATAATAAAATAGGATATGAACCTGCACATAAGTTTGCCATGCGTCATCACTGTCAACTTCAACGCACTTTTTGACATCATTCCATGCAAATCCACTTGTGTTTATCATGTCAACGACCATACTATATGTTTTTTTCCATTTCTTCAACTTGGACTCAATATGTGGATTTGCCTTAATATTTGAATGAGGACATAAAACATTGACAGCTTTTGCTATTTCAACCAAAGTACCTTGTTTGAAAGCACCGGTGTCACACCGTTGCTTCCAAGCAACAAAATCCTCAAGAACTCCTAGTAATACTTCTTCCTCAAATGCTTCCCATTTACGCCTTCTTCCTTTTGGCTCTTGAGTAGCATTCAAAATATTTTCGTTATCCATACCTAAACAAAAAATATTTTAATGAAGGAAAATACCATACAAATAATCAATTTGCATAATATCCAATCAACTTGCATAATATCCAATTAATTTGCATACCATCCAATCATTGTGCTAATATCTAACAAATGCATGATAAAAATGAATACTAAAATAAAATGTTATCATTAACACATATAGCTAGTTCGGTTGCTGGTTCCTAATTGCTCTCCACTCATTATACATTTCCTGAGCTATGTCATTCCTCATTGCAGTCCACTGGTCAAATGTTTGAACACTACCAACATATTCACCTTCTTCTGTATTTTGTCCATCTTCTATTATTGGCAAATTCTCCATTGAATCTACATACATCTCTTGCCTAATAAGATTGTGTAGTAGGCAACAAGCGGTAATTATTCGACCTTGTGTCCTTATCGGATAGAAAGATGGACTCCTTAGTATCGACCACCTTCCTTTTAGCAAGCCAAAACAGCGTTCAATTACATTCCTTGCCTTAGAATGCTTCATGTTAAAATATTCTTCCTTATTAGAAGGTGTTCGTCTCTCCCATTCAGATAAATGATAAGGTATTCCTCTATAGGGTGCAAGGAATCCTTCACCATTTGTATAACCACCATCTACAAGGTAATAATAACCTGATGAAAAAAAAACAGACCTTATTAGTGTTTTGTAGTTGACAAACAGAACTAGACCTAACTTACAAAGTTGAGACTAAGTAATAGTCTTACCCGCTGGTACCTTAAAACCATTAGGCCTAGTAATTGCATCATGTAGCACTCTAGAGTCTGATGCGGAACCCTCCCACCCGGAAACACATATATGAACTGCATATCTCCTGAACACACACCTAACACATTAGTTGCGACTCGACCCTTTCTTGTTCGGTATCTTGGTTTGTCAATTTCAGGTACATGCACATCAATGTGTGTTCCATCCAATGCTCCCAAGCAATTCTTAAAAAAAAAAAAAGTTTTTGTTAATTTATACAAAGGGAATGAAGAGTTAAAGATTAGGGAAAATGAAAAAAAAATTCTCATCATACCTTAAAACATCGCCACCTAGGATCTGTAGAATCAATAGGCACATGCTGAGGGACTTTTAGTAGGATACCTTGTAATCGTAAAATTCCTTGCAATACGCTATTGAAATACCTACTTATAGTTTCTCCCGACCTATAAAATCTACCGCCAACACTACGATTCTTAGTATGATGTGCTAATATTTGTAAAGTCATACACACATGCTCCTCTACAGACACCAAACCATCAGTTTTTACCCTCCCATCTTGACGAAGTAAGTCACATAATATGCCAAAAGTCCTTCTATCCATTCTCAATTCGTTGACACATTCAGTATCAG